AAGATTCATGTGGTAGCGCATCTATACTGCTTATGTGATTGGTGGAGAACAAGGAGCACAGGACAAGTCCTTGGGCCTGACTGGCGCCATTGACTGGTAAGAATAGCCATAAGGAGCCATAGAACAGTATCATTGGGTCGAAGTTCACTGTACAATTTATTGGCTGGAAATGTTTGCAGCTGTGCCAGTTACTGGTCCTCTTTAAAAAAAAGTTAGATGCTGTAGATCACCAGACCTCAGCTAAGAGAGCTGAACCCTTGTTTTCTGTAACCTATGACAGCAATGAAGGTCTGCTTCCAGGTTCTGAAAACGTAGGCCATGCCGGACAATTCTGAACACCTCACCTCAATTCTGTACACTCTCTGTGTCCTCCGGGAGCGACATCATATAAAGAATGCACCCGGGACCCCGCAGCACTCTTTTATCTACTGCTTGGCGGCTTTTACCTCGAGTGCTTCCTGTAATCTGCCCGGCGCATTTCACTTTCAGGACTATAACTTATTCATCACCCACTTTTTTTTTTTTTTGCTCGATGCCGGACGCCCCAGCTCGGCTCCATTGCCGTTCTGCAGGATCTGACACGTCAGCGGCACATTACTAACAGCGCTGATGTAATTTACTCTGTAGGGTGAACCGGGGAAAGAGATTAGAAAAATAACATGGCTCACTCATCGGTTTCCAGGAGAGGTGAGGGAATTGCCTGTCCTCATCATCCTGACTGCCGAACACGCCGTCAATTATCCCCCCTTCTAAAGTGTATTTTTCTGCAAGTAAATATGTTAAAGTGTATGTACACCCTGACAATGAACGTCTTATTTCTTCCCTTCTGGTGTGTTTCAAAGCGTTTAGTTATATCTGTTCGATAAGAGCAAAAAGTTCCCTGTTAATCCTGCAAGAAATCCAGTGAGCTTGCAAGCTTGTCAAGTATTGTTTTCAGCCCTGCCCAGTCCACCTTTGTGGACTACAGAACATCTCCCCCTGTGTAATGGAGTAATGGAGAAGGGGAAATAGGAAGTGGCCCTAACACACTGCCTGTCCTAGCGTGACAACACTGCTCCTCCATAAATACAACATAGTAAGTGAGTGTTGTCACCCTAGGACAAGAAGTGTTATAGGGCTACTTCACATTTCCCCTCTCCATAACACAGGGGGAAGATTTTCTGCTGCCCTGTCCTAGGGTGACAATGCTGCTCTTCCTTAGACACAGTATGGTGAACGGGCGTTGTCACCCTAGGACAGGAAGTATGTTACCGGCAGGATTGCCGGGTGAAAAAAAGCCTAACAAAACAAAAATGAATGCAGCCATCACATCTAAGGACTGGTAAGCTGCAGTATATCACATTTGTGTTCTTGAGTTTAGATACATTGTAAGCATACTTGCTTATGTGAATGGAGAGGGGAGGATAAGAAAGAATGCTGACAATGCCGCCTT